ATGGATCGCTCTTTTGAGTCTTTTTCATTACTTTTTTAAATGGAATGCTTACGCTAAATCCACTTGAATTTTCAGTTAACCCATCTAAATATATAGTTTTGTGCTATTAATCTCTCTATCAAAATTCAAAATATCCGCACCGTAGAGCCACACTATGTGTTTTCACTGAAGGTACACTCGAGAGCGCTCTCAAGTGTACCTCCAGTGAAAACACAGAGTGTGCCTCTACAGTGCGGATATTTTGAATTTTGATAGGGAGATTAATAGCACTAAACTATCTTTTTTAAGATGGGTTTACTGAAAATTCAATTGAATTTAATGTAGGCATTCTATATTAACCTTTGCGTGCCTAACGTCTGAATTTGCATAGATTTCAAAATTCAATTAGCTCTAAAAACATAATTTCTCCATCTTTTTCTTCACAATGAATTGCATTTTGTCGGGAATCTATTGAAATTTTTGAATCTATCTGAAAATATTTGGATCAATACATGGTTCCGGAGTCATTCTGGTTTCCGTTGGGGTCACTTTTGGTCTGCATTCGGCTTTACTGTTCTGTAATAAGTATACACACGATGAACATCATGTTTTTTTTCTCTCATATGATGTAATTGGACCAATGGCAGCTATATCGACGGTCCACGATCACATTGGGCATCCCGGAAATGTTCTGGTGCCCCGGGGAAGTGGCCAATTCTCAACAAGAACCTAAACCCATCATGCGACATATTAAACTTCATGATTTTACAAATCTTGGCCGGTAATGGCCATATTGAGAGTCCATGGTCACACTAGCCCTCCCGGGAATGTTCTGGTGCCCCCGGGGAAGTGGCCAATTCTCAACAAGAACCATAACCCATCGTGCGACATATCAAACTTCATCATTTGACAAATTTTGGGCAGTAATGGCCTTATTGAGAGTCCATAGTCACACTAGCCCTCCCGGGAATGTTCCGGTGCCCCCGGGGAAGTGGCCAATTCGCAACAAGAACTAAAACCCATCGTGCGACATATCAAATTTCATGATTTGACAAATCTTGGCTGGTAATAGCTTTATTGTGAGTCCATGGTCACACTAGCCCTCCCGGGAATGTTCTGGTGCCCCCGAGGAAGTGGCCAATTCTCATCAAAAACCAAAACCCATCGTGCGACACATCAAACTTCATGATTTGACAAATTTTGGCTAGTAATAACCTTATTGAGAGTCCATGGTCACACTAGCCCTCCCGGGAATGTTATGGTGCCCCCGGGGAAGTAGCCAATTCTCAACAAGAACCAAAACCCATCATGCGACATATCAAACTTCATGATTTGACAAATCTTGGCCGGTAATGGCCATATTGAGAGTCCATGGTCACACTAGCCCTCCCGGGAATGTTCTGGTGCCCCCGGGGAAGTGGCCAATTCTCAACAAGAACCATAACCCATCGTGCGACATATCAAACTTCATCATTTGACAAATTTTGGGCAGTAATGGCCTTATTGAGAGTCCATAGTCACACTAGCCCTCCCGGGAATGTTCCGGTGCCCCCGGGGAAGTGGCCAATTCGCAACAAGAACTAAAACCCATCGTGCGACATATCAAATTTCATGATTTGACAAATCTTGGCTGGTAATAGCCTTATTGAGAGTCCATGGTCACACTAGCCCTCCCGGGAATGTTCTGGTGCCCCCGAGGAAGTGGCCAATTCTCATCAAAAACCAAAACCCATCGTGCGACACATCAAACTTCATGATTTGACAAATTTTGGCTAGTAATAACCTTATTGAGAGTCCATGGTCACACTAGCCCTCCCGGGAATGTTATGGTGCCCCCGGGAAAGTAGCCAATTCTCAACAAGAACCAAAACCCATCGTGCGACATATCAAAATTCATGATTTGACAAATCTTGGCCGGTAATGACCTTAAAGAGACTCGACGGTCACATTAGCCCTCCCGGGCATGTTCCCCGGTCAAGTGGCCGATTATCCACAAGAACCAAAACACGTTATGCGATATATCAAACTTTATGATTCTGCTGAACTCGGCCAGTAATGCTCTTTTTGAGAGCCCACGGTCCCATTGGCCCTCCCTGGCATGTTCCGGTGTCCCCGGGTATATTTTCTTTTATTATAAGAAACAGCAATTAACTTGCATACTAACTTTCGCCTTCATGGAAGTTGACAGAGTTGATTTATTTCTCTTCTTAGAAGTTGATGGTTCAGAATTTTTCTCAATGTCGTCTATCGATTCTCGATCCGTCGATAGAAGCAACACAGTTTTACCCTTACGCTCGGTCCAAGATGTGAGCATCATTTCTTCACTGTAACCATGTATTTAGTACAGTGCCAGACTCTAGTTTTTTTTCTTATCGATGAACTCTGGTGGGATTTCTTTTTTATTGCATCTTAGAGTACCCAAGGATACAAGACCTTTGGCGAGCAAACCTTTAGCTAGAGGCAAGGTTGCAAATACTCATTTCAACTAAAACAATGTTTTTTTTTTTTAATTATGAAATAATTAGATGCCATGATCATATTTTGAATTGGTAGCATACAAGAAGAGGTTGCAAAGAATGTGTTTGACATATTAAACCTGTTTATTTCACTTCATGAGAGTCACAATCAGCGATTTTTCACACACTCACTCACTCACTCAGCGATCCATGGGTACGCTGTAAAGACGGTGTGCCATGGAGTGAAAAGCGGCTTGCTTTTGAGCGCCAAAGTGGTTGGAATCGGAGGTAATGTAGCGATCGGTGGACGTCGGTTCGCCATAAATACCGATTTTCAGGGTGTTGTCCTCCTTTCTGGTAATCATCCAGAAAGGGCAATTTCCCATCCTATTCTTTTTCTACCGTGAATATTATTAAACTGTACCGGGAGTTAGGCAGGTTAAGAGTTTGTTGTAGATAGTGTTCTTTCACTGGTGCATCGTCTACGTAGTGCCTCCAAACACGTGGGTAAATCTTGTGTTTTCAGCATCGACTTCAAAGTCACTCATGAAGACGTTCGCCAGGAGCAAGAAAATCTGGTCCATGCATACCTCAGCCACAAGCAGATAAGCCTCAATGTGATTGTGTGGCGCTCGACTACGTTCCAGATGTCGACGCAGGCTTCTTAAAGCGTCGGCAATTGATACGTTTATGTCACATCGTCTCTACTTAAACCCTTCTAGCTGCTCAACCAGATCTACCGAATTTTCCATGCGTTACGGGGTAGTTTTTCATTTCTTCCACTAGCGACTGCCATCTTCTCGGTGGGTGTGCGGATATTTGACGAAATGGGGTACGTTAATCGATTTGCTTGGGACCAATAGGCTAGTCAAGTAGTGAGCCAATTTAAAATCGTTAGTTTCTACCGGTTGGTATAGCGATGCCACCATCGGATTGGGGACGGTGAACATTCTAACAAGCTTATCTTCTCCCATGAGGCGTGCTACATTGTGCCGTGCATCGTCGTCCTCGTTCCGAAAATACCCATATTGTAGGGTTTATGACACTTGCCTTTCTCCCTGCACAAGTGTAAAGCAGCGGAGAAGAGAAGACAGACACACACCCAGAAATAACGAAAGCTCAATGTGTAGCCATCGCTCCGACGGCTCCGACGCAAAGAGCGCCACTCAGTGTAGGTTTGCACAATGGGAAACGTGGTAAGCAAAGTCTGCAAAGAATTCAAAAAAAGACATTAGCACTTGTTGTATTATATTCGCTCACTGCGCGCACGGAGTGTACCGCTCATTGTGTGGATTGCTTTCTCACAGATTAGGTGGAAAAGAGTGTGCGAAGTAGATGGGAGAACCACACGCTCTTTGTCGAGTGTTGTGAGATGCATTCACAAAGTTGCTTTGTGCTAACGCTCTGAGCTGCTCTCCAGCCCTGTGAGTCGTAGTCAGTACTTATCTTCCGACTCCTTTTGCTCGAAAAATCGTCCGACTCCGAATTCGATTCCACAGCCCTAGAAAGAAACTAAGGGCGTAGAATAGAGCGGAATATTCCAAAAATGTGCATAACCGATGTTGGACGATGCACCCAAATTGGTTATGAAAACCCACTAGTAATGCAAAGAAATAATTACTGCTATGTTTGCTATTAAATTTCGGCAACTATAGGTCTCTAACCAGGATCACAGCCATAAAACATCATATGGTTACTAATGAATACTTATTTGCGGGGCAACCTTTGTTGGGCATTAAACAATAAAATCCTTTCACCAAGCAATTTGACTAACCGCAAATACGTTTCCCAGAAAGACAAATCTCCTCCCATTTGTCCAAAGTCAACCATTAGCCCAAACATCTCATCCGGAACATCCGATCCCAAGCACATATACTCAAATGCCACCCGGCTCGCAAACGGTTCGGGGCGCGGGGTGGGAGAAGGAATTAATTATCCGGATTTGAATTTATTAGCCTGGCTCATCCTTTCACACATCTCTCGAACGCTCTCGACGCAGGAAGTAGAAAGCTTGCAACAATTGGCACCTCCATGCCGGCTCGAGACTAAGCCGAATCGAGTTGATTTGTTGTTGACCTGGAAATGCGTGTTTTCCTCCCTTTTCTGCTGGAAGTTATAAATTGATTAACTTTGAATAATGGAACAAACAAAGCGTGCAGAGAGATTGGTAATTTGAGTTGATGTTTTTGCGAGTTAGCTCCTGCTGGATGACTGCCAATAGAGCAAAAAGTGAACCAGATTCAAATCCGTTGAGTTCGTAATTAGGTACCTAGTAGTCGCTTTCGGTGTTCTATGTGTTCTGCTCAGTTACCTGCTAGTTGTATATCTGTGCATAATTATATGTTCGTTTGTGTGTGTGTGTGTGTTTGCGTGCCTGTATGTAAATATGTTCGGCTATCGATGTGGCTCGCCTGAATTGAACAGACTCTTCTTTACGTGTCGGCACGCTTAATGCTCTACTTTCCGAACTCTAGAACATTGCATTTGGTCACCGCATTGAAAATTGATTGAGGTTTTCCCGTTTCATGACTCGTCGTCGCCGCTGCATCCCAATCGATCCGGCAGTGATATCCGAGTGCTACGACGAGCGCTTCAAGGCATACAACGCATCCTGTTATTTATTCATCTCCTACCCGGAAGTGGACTGGATAACGGCCCAACAGGTTTGCCGGGGAATCGGAGCACAGCTGGCGTCAATTTCAACCACCGACGAGCAGAGGTAGGTTTTCCGAACGGAATGGATAGCTGACTGGATTAACTGGTAAATCTTTAATGGGATGGAAGGAAGGGAATTGTGGCTATAAAGCTGGACTTTGTTGGTAGTTCCACAAATTGGTATCATTTGGTTAGCGGGAAAGGCAAAATTTCACTCTCCTGCAAATAACTTCCATCAATTTAAAGATGCTGCAACAAAGAGAAAAATAACTTCCTCGCATTTCAATTCCATGCAACCTCCCTCTGAACGCCGAGAAATGCTCCTTTCTTAAGTGTTAATTAAAATACGATATTTCAATTATACTATCCCATCGCTTGCTTCCCCCATCAACAGGTTCATTACGTCCAACATACGAAATAGCCTGGACTACACCCCCCGGGCGCTGTACTGGGTAGGAGGCGAACTATCCGAAACGGGAGAGCTGGAGTGGGCCGATGGAACGAAGCTATTGTTTGAGGTTGGTTCGCTATACGATGCCAATTGAATCGATAGCTAATAACAATAAATCTCCCTTTCCTTCCAGGGCTGGCTCCCGGGTCAGAAGCCGGAGCCGGCTGCTACAGCGAGGGCTTCCGTTTGCTTGGGTCTCCAGTGGAAGATCTCCCCAACACCGATGATTTCATCGGGCTTGCACTGGAGCACGCAGAAGTGCTCCACCAGGGCTGGCTACATCTGCAAGAAGCCCCGTCCGACGGCCGAGGAGAACATGGCCAAGAATCAGACGATCAGCGGGACGGAAGGACGACTGCTGTCGCCGAGTCCGTATCCAGCCCAAACCGACTACTGGATACGGTTGGTTGCTCCGGAGAGCACTCGAATCATCATTCAGTTCCAAAAACTCGACATCGAATTCCAAGAGGAGTGCCTCTACGATTACGTCAGCATTCAGAACTATCAGATTCTTCCAAATGCTCCGTTGAATCCAGGAACCAATGCGCAGCCAATGGCCATGTTCTGGGATGGTCGAACCGATAGCCTCCCGTCGGCTGACTACATGAGTGACCAACCCTTCCGCCCGTTGCTCAACGGAGACTACTACTACGATCAAAAAACTTCCTCGCCCCCAAAGCAAGAGAAATTCTACCGGAAGAGATCACTATCAACCAACGACGACATCCAGCAGAAGCTGCAGGACAACATCAAACTGCTGGAGAAGATCAACTCCAAGCTGAAGGATCGCAAGAAGCGGTTCCTCAGCTCGGACAACTACAAAACCGTCAAGAACAGCTCCCAGAGTATTACGTTAGAGTCCAATGCCGTCGGACCGACGATCGAAGAAACGGACCCTTCGTTCCTGCCGTACGTCCGGTGGTGTGGAACGCACGACTCCAACATGACGCGCTTCAACTTCATCTCCAGTGGGAACGAAGCGTTCTTGCGGTTTCACTCCGATTTCTCCGTGGCCGGAAGCGGGTATTCGGCAACCTGGAGCACGGTGGACGTCTCCGGGTGTCCAGTGCAAACCTTAACCTCCCGAGAGGGTTCCATCAGCAGTCCGAACTATCCGCACTTTCTGCTGAACAACCTGGACTGCACCTTCATCATCCAGGCCCCCTACGGGAGGAAGGTTTGGTTGGAGTTCACCTTCTTCGACATCCTCCAGGACGCGATCGTTTACGTGGACATTTCGGAGGGACCATTCGAACCGTTTCGGGACGATCAGCACATCAACGACGGGGTGTTTTTGAGCAAGGGTGAACGGTTGGTGGTGCGGCTCAAGACCGGTCCGTTGCCACGGGGGAAAGGCTTCCGTGCTACGTTCAAAGCGCGTAAGATCGCCGTTGATGTGGGCGCGGGAAGAGTTTGAGTATTGACGATTTTATTTTCCAGTGAGCACCGCGGTGGAGCAGAGGTTCATCCATCTGGGCAACAGGACGAGCGGGAATTTGTTCTACCTGAACTACCCGCAGACGATACCGTACGAGATCGACTTTGTCCAGCATCTGGTGGCACCACTCGGGGAGCTGATACTGCTGGAGCTGCACGGGGTGGGTTTCAGCGAGCATGGCTGCCACAAAAGTGGGTTCATCGAGGTGAGTCGGGATTTTTACGTAGGACTGTGGAATACACTGGGCCGGGTTCAAATCAAAACGTGTGACGAAATAGTGTCAGGTTTTAAACGCTTATAACTTGCTCATTTATGGATGGATTTCAATTGTTATCACACCATTTGATTCAGATTTGATGTAAGATTTGTGTTTGGATTTGCGACTAACACTACGCGGTGAAACTGGGGGGTTTGAAAACGGTCACTTGACTTTTTATTGCTCGCCTGTTATTTTGTAAGAATAACACGGTAGATGCGTTCGATTTGAAGCTATATTTTTGACTGACTTGTTTGATTTCTGGCTATCTTATATATCTATACGATCAGTATCAGAGAGAGTGTGTAGAGAACCGAAGGAACACGATTTCAATAGGCCTTTTGGCTCATCTGCGATACCTACTCTAGCTGATAAGGTTGATAAGCAACGAAAGTGTTGCATTGGAGAAAAAGAGAAAAATCTATTCTAGCTGAATTATTTCAATAGGGTTCACTATCCAACTAATTCTTCAACATACGCCGGCCACCGTTAAAAACCCTAGTTTTTAACCTATCTACCCTATTTAATTATAATTGGCTAACTACTCAATTGCGGGTATCTTCGTCTCCTACCATGTGACTCTTCGGTTTAATATTTACGTTCGAGAATGCCGAACTTGCGATCAGCTGTGGTTGCGGTTAGCGACCCTGATCGGTCAGCTGCTTGCATCGGGTCAACGGTCATCTGCTGTTCTTCGATCTTCTTGTCCGTCGATCTTCTGCCTCGTTCGTTCATCCTTCCTTTAATATCTTCATCAATCGTCATCCATCATTAGAATTGCCTGCGCTATGGTTGTGGGTCGTAGCGCTTGTGCTCGTACGTCCGAGCACGGGTCCGTCAGCCGGGCATGGTGCGAGACTAAAATTCCATAAGTTTTTTGAAAATTCATTTACCAAACGTACTTACAAGGTCCGGAGGCCCACGGGCCCCCGGTCGGTGCGCAATGTTAACACTGCGATGGAAGAGACGAAGTACATCGTCGCTTGGGGCGAGTGGCAATGACTGGTCGATGGGCAGCACGCAAATTTTGGAAATTGTACGCCTGTACTCTCCGTCCTTGGTCTTCACTATGACGACACGGATGTTGCCGTCGTCTCCCCTGAAGATGTGAACCACTCTGCCATAGCGCCATTTAAGAGGTGGTAGTCCATCGTCTTTCACCAGGACTAAAGTTCCGATAGCGATGTTGTCCTTTTCGCGGGTCCATTTTGTTCTTGGCTGCAGCCCGGACAGGTATTCCGTGGCCCAGCACTTCCAGAGCCGACGAAGGAATTCTTGAACTTCCTGCCAACGATCTAATCGGTTGGGAGGTAGGTCTCCTAGAGAAGGTTCCGCAATGGCTGTGAGCGGGTGATGGATTAGGAAGTGCCCTGGGGTCAGGACATCGAGGTCTTCAGGGTCAGTCGATAGTTGTGTTAGAGGCCGAGAATTCATGCAACTCTCGATTTGTGCTAGAAGTGTCGTCAGCTGTTCGACCGTTAGAATCGAGTTTCCAAGAGTGGATTTAAGATGGTTCTTGAACGATTTGATGGATGTTTATGGAACGAGGAGGGATAAATTTAAATTCTATGCCGTCTTCGCCACACGACCGAGTGACGGCGTTCTGCAACTGCTGGTCTTTAAGCTGCTTGGCAAGTTCTGCTACTTCCCGAGAAGCACCACGAAAATTCTGTGCGTTGTCGCACTCTATGAGTTTAGGTTTGCCTCGACGTGCGATGAAGCGCCTGAAGGCAGCAAGGAACGATCCCGTTGAGAGATCTCCCACGAGCTCTATATGAACTGCCTTTATCGAGAGGCAGACGAATACTGCAACGTAGCCCTTGATCGGCTGCGACTTACGTTGAGGATAGCGAAAGTTGATCGGACCACACAGATCAACGCCTGTACACAAGAACGGTAACGTTGGAGAGACACGTTCTGCCGGAAGATCGCCCATGATTTGCTGTTGGATTCTTGGACGACAGCGGAAGCAGCAATGTACGATTCTTCGCGCAAGGTTCCGAACGCGCAAAGGCCGAAATTTCTCCCTGATGCTTGCGATTAGCAATTGTGGTCCTGCATGTAGCATTTTCTGGTGGTAGTATCGAGCGACCAGTTCGGAGAACGGGTGCTTGGAGGGCAAAATCATCGGGTGTTTCCGATCTAAAGAAATTGTTGCGTGACGTCGCCGGCCACCAACTCGCAGGATGCCTTGTTCAACGAACGGCGTTAGTGCCTTCAACTTGGAGGACGGTTTGACCTCTCCAGTGTTGGTCAACGAAGCGAAGTCTTCTCAAAAGGTTTCATGTTGAGTTATTCGAACGAGACATCTGTTGGCTTCTTCGAGTTCTATTGCGGTTAGAAAACCCCTACGACGTTGTGTTCGGTTAGCAGGATTCGAATTGAAGTAAAATCTTCGAACCCACGCAACTAAACGCAGCAGCACTGTATACGATGACCGTAGAGCGGATATTAGATTTGGTAGAACAGTCTGGATTGCTAGGGTAACTGATCGTTCTTCGAGGTCTTCCATGATGAAATCTTCATCCGATGTATGCACGAAAGCAGGCCAAAAGCGAGAGGAATGCACTAACCAGTCGGGTCCGTGCCAGCAAGCCTTGGTCGACGAGAGTTGCTCGGGATCCATTCCCCGAGAGATTATATCTGCAGGGTTCTCTGTGCCCGAGACATGAGCCCATAATCCACCAGCCGTTGCATGTTGTATCTCCGAGACCCGGTTTGCAATAAACGTCTTCCACCGGGACGACGTAGAGGCTAGCCAATGGAGGACAATGGTGGAGTCTGACCAGAAAAACGACTTAGTATCGAGAGTGATGGCGTTTTGCACCTTCTGTAACAAATGTGCGAGGAGCAGTGCTGCCGAAAGTTCCAGCCGAGGTAAGCAGACCCGTTTCTGCTTTCGAGAGTCTCCAAGGGGTGCTACTTTTGATTTAGCGACGAGGAAGTTTACTTTGACTGATCCGTCATCAGCTACCGCACGAAGGTAAATGCATGCGCCATTGGCCTTTTCTGATGCATCGCAGAATCCATGCATTTCAATCAACACTGGTTTGATAACTGGTATAACCCATCGAGGAACAGAAAGATTCCTGAGAGCTTCGAGGTTTTCCCGGAATTCAAGCCATCGTTGCTGAAGTTCATCGTCGAGAGGTTCATCACATTTCTTCTGGCACCGCCACAAGTCTTGGAGGTAGATTTTGGCCTGTACGATTACCGGACCGACCAGTCCCAGAGGATCAAAAAGTTTGGCAGCATCCGATAGCGCGATTCTTTTGGTAATTGTAGCTGTATCGTTCCATTTGGGTACGTCAAAGAGGAAATCGTCTGTCGTAGTCTGCCATTTCAGTCCTAGCGTCTTGATAGGAGCGGAGGAAGAATTAAGGTCGAAAACTGTTCGTTCGTCTCGTAGATCTGCTGGAAGGTGTTCGAGGACCTCCGGACAATTCGAAGACCATTTCCGAAGACAAAATCCAGCAGACTGAAGCAGGTTCAACAACTGGGAACAAAGCTGCTACCCTTGACTGACGTCATCAAAGCCAGTTAATAGGTCATCCATGGAGAAGTCCTTGGATACGACTTTAGATGCTTCTGGATGTGTGGCTTCTCCAATTCTAGCGATTTCCTGGAGGCACCTGGTTGCTAGGTAGGGAGCGCACGAAGTACCGTAAGTCACGGTCGTAAGTTGGAAGGTTCGCAAAGGTTCCGATGGAGAATTTCGTCAAAAAATCTTGAGATAACGCCGATCGAGCAGGAAAAGTAGGATTTGCCGGTACATTTTCTCAATATCCGACACAATCACGTACCGAGGGATCCGAAACCGTAAAGTGATCGACACCAGATCGTCTTGAACGACGGGACCGACCATCAATCCGTCGTTGAGGGATACTCCGGTATCCGTAGCGCACGAAGCATCAAATACTACTCGAAGTTTGGTAGTCAGGCTATCAGGTCTAACGACACAATGGTGGGGCAGATAATACGAAAGAGTATTGAGCTTTAGTTCTTCCGAACCGGTGACTTCCTCCATATGTCCCAGCCGATGATACTCCTCGATGAAGTCTGAATACACTTTCTTAAGCAATGGATTAGCATTCAGACGTCGCGCCAGAGCGAGAAAACGACGAGTGGCAATCTCTTTGGAGTTTCCGAGTGTTGAGAGGACTGTCGACCTTTTCGGAAGTTGAACTACGAAACGTCCTGTATCATCCCGAGTAGTTGTAGCTGCAAAATGCGCTTCGCAAAGCGCTTCTTCGATGGATAGGGTACTGCTAGCTTGGCACGACTCTAGTTCCCAAAAGCGTACCAATTGATCTTCGAGCGAACTGATACTGCAGACGTGGACAAAGCTGATTGTGGGTGACGGAGATGAGCCAACCTTGCCGGAAACGACCCATCCAAGTACGGTTTTCTGCAGCACTGGTAGATCTGGACCAAGACGTACCAAACCTTCTTCGACGAGTTCATAGTAGACCTCCATCCCAAGTATCATGTCGATGGGACCAGGTTGATGGAAGGTAGGATCAGCGAGAACGAGATTAACTGGTATGCTCCACTCTTGGATGCTCAATGCCCTTGCAGGAAGATCGCGAGTGATCCCCGATAGTACGTGGAATGAGAAATCAGCGATCAAGTTCGAACAATGTGATTCGATTCGAGCGTCGACGGCGTAGGATGAAACGACAGTGGCATTCCCTACACCTCCAATCTCCTGATGAGTTTTAATACGTCGCAGCTTCAGTTTCTGTGACAGCTGCTCCGTCATCAAGTTCAGCTGCGAGGCAGGATCCAACAAAGCTTGAGCCCACACGGCATACCCGTTGATATCAGAGATCTTCACCATCGCAGTTTGCAGCAAAACAGTCAGAAAAACGGTTCGAACACTGCCGAGAAGGGTGGTCGACACATGGCTGGTAGATGGGGTACAAGTAGGCGGGATTACAACATTTGGAGGTTGCAAAGACTGGGATGAGGCGGACTGAGGTGAAGCAGCTGTAGTACTTCGAGTGGACTGAGATTGGTTATGTGTTGTTGGTGGTTTGGGATTTGGAATGGCATCCGACGAACGAAGTGTGGTATTTTGGTGCAACATGGTATGAGAGCAACTGCAACTGGACGGGCATTGCTTAACGAGGTGGGATGGTGAGAAGCAATTTATGCACAGCGAATTTTTCTTCACTATTTCGAACCGTTGGGAAACAGGAAGCTTGCGAAAAGTCTCGCAGTGGAAAGGCGAGTGCGAGGACTGTGTACAAAATGGACAGCATTTCGATGATGAGTTAGTAGTTACTGCATGGCTAAACTTCGGTTTCTGCTACCGAACTGGTTCGAGTTTGGGCAGGTCTGCAGTGCGGGGCTTCGACGATGATAAAGACTGCAGGATAGAACAATGTCCGCGCAAAAACTCAACCTCATACCTTGGAACTTCGGTAGATTTGTGATGCTGTTCCCATTGCTTGAGCGTTGCGCAATCCAATCGCAAAGCATATGTGCGAGAAGTACACTCCACCCTTCGGTCTGGACATCTATCTTTTGGATCATGTTTAAGTTGCGCTCGAATTCATTCAGCATTCCTTGCGCATCGATTCGATGGAAAGCAAAGACTCAATGTATGTCTTCACGACAAGTTTCTTGTTATCAAACCTCTTCTCAAGTAGTCCCCAAGCTACTGAGTAATTAGCTGAGGTGATTTCAATCGACTCAATCACCCGTTTCGCTTCCTTAGACAGAGAGGAAATAAGGTACGAAAATTTGTCAATTGGTTTCAGTTGAGGGTTACTATCGATCAGGCTTACAAAGCCATCACGAAAGGTAAGCCAATTTGCTAGGGTACCATCGAAAGTGGGAAGTTTTACTTCTGGTAACCTTATTCGAGCGAATGATGAGTCAGCAACTGTAACCCTGGGTGCCACGACATTTGACGACGATGCAGTAGGTTCTGGTTTAAGTTGAGAAGCGATAAACCCGAAATCACCCCGAATTTTTCTGTACCCATCCTCATCAGGTGCAGCTGTTTCAGCTGCGTCAGCATCTTCTTCCTGATCCTCAAGTAGCTCCATCTGCAAGCGATTCGATTGAAAATCGGCAAAGTTTTTCTCTAGCCGCTGCATCCATCCCTCGAGAAATAAGGTGTCCTTTTGCTCATCGTAATTGGTAACCAGGCTAATGAGGTTGTTCATCGTGTCAATGCAAAAACGTTCTTGACGAGACAGCGCACGCAAACTTGGTGCCATATTGATGAGTAAGAAATTCTGCCGAAATTCTCAAAATCGACCACCGATACAAAGAATTCGCAAACGAAACTCTCGTTTAAATGTTACACCACCACAACTTCGCATACGATGAGCAAAAAAACTTCGAAAATGCGTCAGTATCCAAGTGACTTCTCCCAAAACCAAACCAATCAGGGGTAATAAATCAACCGTGGTTCAATCTACGGTGCGATAGTCCTCTCTCGATATTATGCAATTTGTTATTCCATTTATTTGATCAGCAGCCTTACTGCTATCATGCATGCGTACTTACAGTGCGTCTCGAGTTGCAAATCGATTCTTCCTACCTCCTTTGTCCAGCCCAACAAAAGCCACCCAAGACAAGCCAGAAGAACGTTGACCCAAGTCAAACCTACAAAGCGTGACCCAGCCCAGTAGTAAGCAGCGCTGATCGATGATCTTTGTCTGGTATCACTGCAACGTAGAAAACTGCGTCTTGTTTCCCGCACAAAATTTCAATTTTTTCCGAACTGTGCGGACTCACTATTGGATTTTCACCCACTAGGGGACTTTTCCCGTGGCACTGTGCGTTTACAGTCGACACTGACCGAGTTCGATTAATTTTCACGTTCGATACTTATGACATTTTCTGTAGCTTTATGTTAAATGCTTCAAAGATATTAAATCAGGTTTACTGTCCCTAATGGAAAAGAAAATTGGCACCGTAAAGCGAACACCATTGTGCCGTGCAAAAATATACACACTGAACAAAACTTTCCCCCCTTTCCAGATCTACGACAACTACGCCGACAAGAACGGCACACTGTGGCATCTGTGCGAACTGAACCACCCGAACGCCACCAGCTCCAAAGCCTATTCGGCCGAGTACAAGCTGATCGAGAACAACCTGGCCAAACCGGCTCCCATCTACATCACGTCCTACCTGAACACACTGCACATCCGGCAGCGAACCGTTCAGGGCATGGGCGTCCGATTGAATGCCACCATCCGCATGCAGAACGACATCGCCTACAAGATGAAGCTGATCACCAACGAGGACGAGTGGGTCGAAAGCTGCAAACCGAACCCGTGCCAGTACGGTGGCAAGTGCATCATGCAGGCGAAAAACCGCGGAATGTGCCAATGTCGGGGCTACTTCACCGGACGGTTCTGCGGGTTGAACATGTGCGAACTAGAGCCGTGCTATTTCGGCAAATGCGAATTGACACAATCCAGCTTCAAGTGCCACTGCCAGCCCGGTTACATGGGCAAACGGTGCGATGAAAAGCCGAAACCATGCGAGGACAATCCCTGCGAGGGACGTGGCGAGTGCCATCCGAAAAACGGGGGATTCCTCTGCCGATGTCACGCTTGGTGGGAAGGCCCCCGGTGTGAAAGACGAATGATGCACATTCCCTATAAACCCCTGTCCGAACGGATGCTGCAGGAACCGTTCTGGTTGGGTTTGATCACGGTTTTTGTGGTGCTGGCCGTCATCGGGCTGGTGTGGTGTGCCAAGCGGCACTTCCCGGAGAAAATCGAGAAACTGTTGGCCGATGAAGCTCACCGGAATAGACGTAAGACTTGCATCGTTTGGAGTGAATTCAAATGCTTGAATAACATTTCTCATTTTTTCTCACAGCTGCAAACTTCCAACCGCATCATCTGAACACGGCACTCCGGGAGCAGCTGCAGGCAGCGGCAGGAACGGTGCCCTCGTCGACGGCCACAACCCCCGCGACGCATAGGACCATCTTCGGACGTTTGGGTATTAGAAAACCATCAATATTGAGCCTCAGCAGCCCTCAGCAAGTTGGAGGGGCAACCGCTAGAACATTTTCATTAGATGATCTATTACGGCCCCCTCCTCGACGTAAGACAGACAAACATATGATTAATCTTAGTTTTCTAAGCAAACCAAAACATTCAAGAACCGATACGATACGATCAGTTCGAATAACCTTAAACTAACCTGTACCGATCTCTCAAGTACAAGCCAGTAATCTGTCTCCCTCATCCTTCCTTGCCTCACTTACCATGTCCCCTTCCGATTGATTCGCCTAAGAACGAAACCTGCATTCACCTATATAAGCTCTCTAACTGCCGCAAAATTCTAAATTTTCCCCTGGAGTTTCCACTGTCCTATCCTGTGCTCGCTGTATCTACCACTTCTCTGCTAATATTCTGTCCCTTCGCATTCCTCTTCCAAGCATTTGTAGCTAACTGTTAGTGAACTTCCTTCAAAAAACGCACCAAGTGTTGTGATCTCTTTGGTTTGCTTCATCTCTCTTTGTGTGTGTGTTTAAAAGCGGTTCCTCGAAAGACTGGTGGTTTTTGAGTGACTAATTTTGCCGAGCCTTGCACCATCATATAGATTTTCACAATACTTGTCGTGATCGATTAAATTCGATTGAGTAGGCACCTAAACCGTAATTGATGTTATTTCTAAGTTGCACGCTGATCGTGATGCCTGTGCACCAGAGCACCAGTACTAGCATTATTCGGGAAGCGATGACTGTGTATTTGTATGATGAAACTGTGTCCGATCCAGGCACTGCTGGGCTGTTTGGAACGAATCTATCAACTTTATCCGGCAATGAACGTACATCAAACTGCTGACTGAGTTCGCCCTGCTTTACAGAAGATATTAAAGATGTTAATTATTGTTAGGGAGTGAAGAAAGTCCTTGAGCGCTTATTTTTTGACGTAGGATCACGTCTTTCGGGTGCAATTTCAAAAAACCAAAATGGACCTTGTTACGAAAAGCGGTCAGGTTTTGACCATATATAACTCTGTCAATAGCGGATAGATTTTAATTCTAAACAAGCCAATCGATTGGATTTTTTTCTACGAATCTGCTAAAATGAACACTTTATTAGTTTTCAACAGGTCACTATTGAAAATTACACAAATTTCCAACTGTTGCAATGGTGATCAAAATTATCACCGATTGCCTGCAAAACGCGCTTTCCCTAACACAGATTTCAAAATGGAATTCGATCCAGTCTCACTAAACAGTGCTTATTCAATCACCGTGTGTGGTGGTGTCCGATCGGTCGTCATCATCATCAGCAGTACACAACGAAAGGCTGCCCGCGAGCAGCGAGCTGCAGCCCTTACACTATTCCCATTCACCGAAGAAGGAGGAAGAAGCCGTACCGCTACTGATTGGATTCATTTGCTCTTCGTGAGTCGTTGAGGGCCATCTATGCCAAGCGCATCACCCTCGTTCCAAACATCATACAGCTCGCCAGCCTCATCCGTGTTGAACACCTTAATCAGGGTGTCGACTACCTGGAAAAAACCTGGGAAAAACAGGGAATTCATTTTTGGACCTGCAAAATCAGGGAATCTCAGGGAATTTCATTCAAATGCAGGGAAATATTTCTTAATCAAAGAAGTATGCCAAACTTTGCTAGTTTCAAACAACTTGATTACTCGGTGTAGTTTGAAGATGGTTGTCCATTTAAAATTTAAAATAGAGTTTCGAATTTGTGGTTGCTCATTGCTTGATGTTGCATTTTTGCAAGTTGAGCAAGAATTACATTTCCTTAGACACTAGACATTGTTAGTTGTTGCAAAATTTATCCTCCAAATGTGTATGTCTTGGTCTCTTAGTAGATGTTACATCTAATTGCGTCTGACTTAGATCATTTGGTCGCATTGGAGCGCTTTTGAGTAAAGAGCTAAGAGAAGAGGATGATGTTTGAGTCTGAACACTTGTAGTTCCTGTTCCTTATTGTGTTGTAAACAGCCTGATTAGCTCAGAGAATAAATTAAATGAAAATTTAAGATAATGGAGTAGCACTTTTATGATGGAAATATGATTCAAAGAAACGCAGACAAGCATTGCCTCGGCAGCATTTAGGGGGTTATTGAGTATTCTAGGTCTTCATTGTAAATCTGATTAGCTCGGAAAATAAGATTCTCAGTGAAAGGTGAAAGTGCTGGTTTTACGATTTCCCACCATAGGAATCTGGTCACAAATTAGCGTTTGGTTAAGCGTATTAACCGGAATAATTTTCTTGCGAAGCTGGGTCTCAAATTGTGCTCAAGGGATTAAAGACAAGTGTTTCATATGTAAGATGTAGGAGAACTGGTTTAATTTCTGCCCCTAGCGTCGAGTTCAGAAACAGTCAGTTGAGAACTTCTATGCCGGATTGAAAAAGTTCACGATATTTCACGAAGTTTGACAAGGTAAAAGTTCGCGAGTCATAGTGAGTTTTGATGAATATTTTCAACACTGCTAAATCGGCATGCCAAGGATCTCTTCTCACATCATGGAGTCAATCGTGCAAACTTGTTGACAATTTTAAGACTAGATTGTAGATTGATATCGAGATGGTTGCAGTTTCCTTCGCTACTAATTATGAATTGAACTGATTATCTGGCGCTTATCGCGATTACAATTTGTGAATTTAGAAAAATGTGGTGCCTTTCCGTTTTTGGAAACACGCGATTTCTGTCTTTATTGCATTCTATAAAATGTATCGAACGCTTTATTCAATTTGAGATTGTACTGGACCACTCTTCATGGGTTAGAGGTTCATGTGGTATTTAATGAAAAAATGGCCATAAAGCACTACCCAACTAACCATTTTGGCTTCAGACTAGCTGATACAACCGGAAAATTACGTTACGTATCTAATTTGTGCCTGTATAGGCTGGTCTACAGCTAGAACTGTCTACATATCTGAGGAAAGTAATAGCTGATGAAATCGTGTTGACAAAACCATGTAGACACTGCAACTGGAATTTGTTGAAAAATTACTGGAAAATCAGGGAATATCAGGGAATTTTGTTTTCTTCATTGAGTCGACACCCTGCTAATAGCTCAGCATTACTCAACCATCACGAAAAAGCGATCCTTTTCAGGACCACCATAAATTTGTTAAAGAGTATTTTCTGGACATTTGCCAAGGTCATCAATCGGATGTCAGTTGCCATAAGTTTAATCCAACATACTATGATAACGAAAAATTATCACCGATTGCCTGCGAAAAGCGCTTTCCCTAACACAGATTTCAAAATCGAAGTCCATCCGGTCTCGCCGAACGAGGCATTTCCGTGATGGGAAAAAGTGATTTCCCTAACAAAGTCACCGAATTTTGATACCGAGCACGTAATCCTACGTCAAATCTACGGTCGTGTCTTAGATACAACCTCTTACTTTTTTTTCATGGGGATATATCATGTGTCAGAGCAACGACTGGCTGAATTTGAGCACTTTGTTTACCCTCCCCCCACCCCCCCACCGAGAATAGGTAAAGGTATTACCGAAGCCGACATTTCCCCTATCTCAACGAGTTTTGGAAGCTGAATCTCCCTAAACTGTTCCAAGAATTTGTGGTTTTCACGAAATATTCTGTGCTTCCAAGAGATTCTTCGAATCATTATGTTACTAAAGCATTTTTTAGATTCCTTGACATTAATATAGTTTCGTTGGACATCGTTAATGTTCTGAAGTTCCCTAAATTTCTAATATTTTAATAAGATTTTAATAAAGGTTTCCAAAGCATTATTAAGATTGACTAAACGTGATTAAATTTTTTTACACTCCTTTGAACAACCTTTAACTTCGCTCTAGGTGATTTGAACTTCTCTAAAATTATTCTAAGCTTCATAAGAACTTTCCAAAGAATTCCAAAAAGAAAAATGAAATGAAGAAGTAGTGCGGTTTAACGAACTTCGGTGACCGTAAAAGTGCTTAAAAGAGGTCATGGAAGATCTAAGAGGTATAAAGGATATCAGAGTTAACCCAAGTAACCAAAAGTTCCGCATTCAACGATAAAACTCACTTTCAATTTCCATAAAGCTCAAATAAAGTTCCGACAGAACTTTCAAGTTCAAATAAAGTTCTGCCAGAATTTTCTAGTTCCATAAAGTTCAAATAAAGTTCCGACAGAACTTTCAAGTTCCATAAAGTTCCGACAATAAAACCCACTTTCATTTCCATAAAGTGCATATAAAGTTCCAACACAACTTTCTGGCTACTTTAGAAGCTATTGAAAGCACACGAGGAACTTCAAGCTCCAAAAAGTTCCGATACGTACTCCTAGCAACTAGAAGTCCAAAAAGCATCCTTCATTATCGAAACAAAGAAAAGAAAATTAATTCTCCGCAGAATCGCTTCATTTCGAGCAATATCATTTTCGTGTAAGTCATCGTGTTTCTTGTTATCAAGTCACGATGAACATTCCTCTTTTCAAACATGACTGGACTCCCAACAAACATTTAATGTTGAATAAGAGCTTATTCAGGCAAAAACAAGCTTCTTCAGCTAAAAAATAGCTTATTCAGCTGTTGATCAACTCAAATTGTTTGTTGGGCTATCACTTGTTTCGTTCGTCAAGTGCTTCAGTTCATTTCATTTGAAGCAAAGACTTGTTTCAATTGACGCAATGAACGACTCGAAAACTGCTTCCTTCGTTTTTTCCACTTTCACTTCAAAATTCGGAGCTCATTCGACTTGTCACGACCTGACGACGCAGGCATCAAAATATAGTATCCGGATAGTATCCGCACAATATCGGTTGCCGATAGGGATGGCATCCGGATTATATGTAGTAATAATATATTATTTTATATTAAACTAAACGAATCCATTGTGGAGTCCAAGATGGCAGCCATCGGGTTTCAGAAAAAGTGTCAAATACCCTACAATAGGGTATTTTCGGAACGGGGATGCCGCGTAGATGCTGAAAATCGTCACCCGACGCCATTTTGAAATTCATGATAGTGGCCATTGGTTTTATGAAGTGTCAAATACCCTAAGATGTGGGTATTATCGGAACGGTAGATGCATAACATCGATATCAGATACCACTTTGGATTCTAATATGGCGGCCATCAGGGTTCAAAAAGTGTCCCTAC